ATTGCAATTCGCCTTAGCCCGTCTGAGTGCTGACTACTTGGTGTGGTGATCAGCGAAAGATGCTACCCTTACTACTGTTTACAGCTGGATCGAAACCATAAGCCACGGACAATCTAAGAAACTGAACTGATATTGCTCCATGCACCTGCTTCAATCAGCCAATCAATCGGCCATCAGAGGTTGTTCGCCGGCACTTAGAAACACAGAACCCGACTCAAGGATGAGCGGGATGACTGCTCACAACTCAGTATATCGAATCCGTCCGCCTTTTAATGTAATATGATGTACGTAAGTGGACTGACCATGCTTCGGGACGTGTGCCTAGTTGGGTAATCGAAAAGAGGAAAGGAAAGCTTGCGACCGCTGAAATGTCGATCTTCCTGACACTTTCAGAATGGGCCTATTTCTGGCGAGCATCTTTTCATGAAGTTAGCGGGGGGGGGCGTCGATATCCGTTTCAGTGCCACAGTCAGGAGTGATTATTTTTAACGTAGAATCGACAATAGCTATGTGGCAAGCAAAATGTGCAAGCTGCTGTTTCCTTTCCACTCAGTGAAGGGTGAAAGATGTGTGATTCCGACCGGAGCTCATACCCCGGACCTCACGGCTCTGTGTCTAACTCTTTAGCGACTGAGCAGTTCCTGTCTGAAACAGCGTGTGGTAGCATTCCTTGGGAATTCATGGTTCTTCAAGGGAATTCATGGTTGAGAAACAGATTGCTCTCCGCCAGAATCGAATCCGGGGCCCCCGCAGGTCAGAGTCAATCTCTTGCGACACTCTGCCACCTCGCCATTGCATGATGGCAGTAAGCAATCCTAGCTAATGACAAAAATAGTACCAAAACTGTGGGTTCGTTCGATGGAGTACGTTAGCGAGCACTTAATTCTTCAAAACAAAAAACATTTCAAGACGGACATACATTTCCAGAGGTGTCACTGTGGTAATGAGGAAAACGTTGAACACTAAAAGTTCCAAGTGCGATTCTGCAGGAGGGATAACCTGTACCTCGCCCGTGAATTCCCTCTAGCAAAGAACTTGCTTCACGTTGCTTCGGTGCAGTCAGCCGAGAAACGGTCACCAGCTCTCTGACTTGTGAACGACATTGGCTACGTAGTGTTTTCATCTGATTAGTCATATAAGAGTGGGCGAGAGGTGCAGTTATGCTGCCTAATGTGAGCGCTTCATAGGGCTGCCATTTGCCTTGACCCACCTGACAGCTGACTATTTCACGTGATAATCAGCAGAGAGTTTTGCCATAGTTGCTGTTTACCATTCCATTCATTCAATCGTTCTTCACTCATTCATTTATTGCTGTTTTCCTGGATCTGTTAACTCATCATTTCATGACCATATGTCGAATTCTCATATTCGCATTAATGCTGAATAACATGCCGTTAAAAGACCTGGCATTGCAGACTCCTGCTGGAGTGATCGCACATGGAGTCCGTATGAAGAACAGCATATTGAAAAAACACCTCACGTCCTCTACACGACAACCATTTAAAGTGACTTGTTCACAGTATATCCAGCGAAGCCATTTTGTCAGAATCTCTGGGACTCTTTCATGGGTCATTCATACCGTCCTTAGCGGAAGGGAACGTTTTGGCGCATGCTGTTTGGGAGCAGACCTGCGTTTGCTGTCGTCGCTCAGTGCTGCGGTCACCGCTTTGAAATTGTACAACTGGACGATGGTCATCTGCACTGACTATTCGATTGAGCCCACCTCGTCATATGTCAATGAGTGAAGTACGATGTCCTTGCAAACGATGTTCACACAGCAATTTTAGAATCCACAGGCTGCTAAAGAGCGGTGTTTGGCCATGCTAAGAGTGGCATGGTTTCGCTTTCATGCCACAGTACGTTTCCTGTTGCATTACTGGTTCGTTTATTGCTATATTCGTGTCCTCTGTTTTATTGCTTTTGGTCAGCCTCTTGGTGAGTAATAATTTCTTTCAACCACGAATACTGGTTTTAAACGTCGAAAACTGTAAAATAACCTGTTTCACTTTACAGCAGTACGGTGGAAGTGTAAGTCATGTGACAATCTTTACACTTGGTGTGAAAAGTTGACGGAATGTAATGCTCACACCG